CAGGTAGTTAGGAGTTAATGGCTCTAATAGTTTTTCAACCACCACGAAGATAGAAAGCAGTATAGTTTCACATTGTGGGTTTTCTTTTACAACAGTATATGATCTGCAGACACTAGCATCAAGTTTAGAGTGCTTAATTTAAAAAGATATTAAAAAAACAAAAAGTATGATGTGGATCCCTGACTGAAGTGTAGTGATGTAATGTTTGAATGTCCAGAAGTTCAGAACTTGCTGTCTGGAACTTTTCTGTGGGCAACCCCTGGAACCCCAAGTTTCTCCCAACTGGCCAACTATTTGGACCAAAGATCAGGCTTGAGGTTGCCCTGGGATAATTCCTTATCCCTGCAAGCCTCAGCTTTACTACCCTTATACTAGACCTCATAGCTGCAGTGAGGGGATCTTTGCCAGTCCTAGGTGGCTTCCACTTTGGGTTTTGAAGGAAACATTAGGTCCTCTTTTTCATCAAAAGGGCTAGCTTGGGTTGGCCCTGAGATCACTCTTTCCATAAGCAATCGTTAAGGAGTCAAAAGAGCAAAAGGATTTATGTAGCAAAAAGTAATTTATGAGCAAAACTAACAAGAACTTTGAAGAGAGACAGAAAAAGAAAACAAGTACTTTCTTGCTCCCTCATCCAGCTACACACTAGCCTTCTTGAGAGTCCTAGCTGGTTTTTTAAGAGCTCGGCCTGCTAATTCGACCAGTGTTTTCCGAGATCAGCCTTTCTGCTGCTTTGACTAGCCCTGGGTACTGAGGCCTCTGACCTTTCTTTAGCTTGGGGAAAATTCAAAAGACCTGAATTCTATCATAGCTAGACTTGAAGAAAACTCCAAGCCAGCCCCCTTCATCAGCACTATTTTAATTGCTCGAGACCTCAGTACCCTGCAGAACTTTCTGGTCTCCCAGTGTCTCTCTTGTTATGACTGACCATTTCTCTCCAATGGTTCTTCTATAGAGAGTTGATTTCCCCACTACAGGCAGACAAATGCCATAGGTGTCTAACCCAATAATATCTCCTTCTGCCTGTGTCTGGAAGTAGCAGTTGTTCTTAGATACGTATTCCTTGGCTAAGCCATGTCCAGAATTATAAAGATATGCATTGGAAGCATAACAATCTACACACTGATAAAAGTGACAGAAATTGATGCAGCATAACATGGGCTTTCCAACAAGACTGAACAATACCATATCGGTACAAGAAAACATATTAATGACACCCGACAGACCCCCAGAACACAATGGGGTTCATGCCATTTCATAGATTTCATAGACATTTGGGCTGGAAGGGACCCCGGAGGATCATCGAGTCCAGCCCCCTGCCCCAGGGGCAGGAAGTCAGCAGGGATCATACGATCCCAGCAAGATAAGCATCCAAATCTGTTTTGAAGGTGTTCAGAGTGGGTGCTTGAACCACCTCCGACGGCAGTCTGTTCCAAACCTTGGGGGCCCAGACAGTGAAGAAGTTCTATCTTATGTCCAGCCTGAACATTCACAGTGGAGTTTGTGACCATTTGATCTTGTCATCCCTTGGGGGGCTCTGGTGAACAGATGTTCCCTCAGATCCTGATGAGCACCCCGATAAACTTATAGGTAGCCACAAGATCACCCCTGAGCCTGCGCTTTTCCAGGCTGAATAGCC